AATCGTCTAAAAGTTTTTGAATTCTATTTGCAGAAGGACGTTCAGAAGGAGTTGCATTCATGCATTGGCTTGCCAAAGTAAAATAAAGTTGGGGTATTTATTTTGCAAAACTTGGACGAAGACCATCGCATATGTCTTGTACAAGACGAGAATCATGTTCTTTTCGATCATAGAAAGGTGGTTTTCCTGTTGAAATTTCCCACATAATTATACCAAATGAATAAATATCAGATGCTTTAGTATACGGTTCTCCAATAAAAACTTCTGGTGCCATGTATGGTAAAACTCCATAAACGCTATCTAACTCTATCATTAAAGCTATATTGACTGAAATTGAAAGTCCTAAATCTGCAATATATGCACTATTTATGCTATTTTGTAATATATTACCGCTGTGTAAATCCCGATGAATAAGATCCTGGGAGTGAATCGCTTGAAGATCAAGTGCAATATTAAGCAATATATTTAATTTGTCTTTCCATTTCATTTGTGATATAATGGGTAGATTTTGACGCAAAGAACCCTTTGAGGCATATTCCATAACAAGAATATAATCTTCAGAGATATAATCTTTTGATATTCCGTAACATTTTAAGAATGTGGGATTTTCATTGCTTATATCACAAAATGCCTTGAGCTTATCATTCCAAAGAAAAAAAAATATTTAGACAATTTATATAAAATAAATCCTTAAAATTTAAAAAATCACCTCTTTTGCAAATTCTTCATGACGACTTTTTGACCCATGAAGTAATTTAAGAGCAACTTCTCTTGTTGCATTATTTTGATCTTGCCATTTAGCATAAAATACTGTTGCAGATGCACCTTGTCCTATTTCTTTAATATTCTTAAACTCATTGTAAGGAATCCATAACAATGAATAATTATTTTCAGTTAATATCCTTTTTAAATTGTCACCAATATTAGAATTTTCATGTATCTGTTTATTCATGCCTAAAAATTTTAGTTAGACCCATTTTATGTAAATAAAAATATATTAACAAAACTACAAAAATACCTGATAATGGAGCTTCTCCCCTAAATTGTTTTAAGCACTATTAGCAATAATCAATCAATCAACCAATCAATCGTAAATTACTTACATTTTATACCAATAATCGGCCTTAGACTCATCCTTTTCAACACCAACCCCATTTCGATAACAATAGCTAAGTGTAAACATCCCACTAACATTACCCAAACTAGCGGAATTTTCATAATAATTAAATGCCCTATGTTCATCCTTATTGACTCCAATTCCATCTAGATAACATTGACCAACTTGATACATTCCATCAGCATTTCCCATATCAGCTGATTTTTGGTAATAAATGAATGCCTTATGATAATCTTTCTCAACTCCAATTCCGTTATTATAACAATCACCTAAATTATGCATTCCTTTTGAATCGCCCATTTCAGTTGCTTTATGATAATAAGTGAATGCTTTATGTTCATTTTTTTCAACTCCGATTCCATTTCGATAACAATCACCAAGCTTACATATCCCCACTGCGCTTCCTATTTCGGTAGATTTTTGATAATACGTGAATGCTTTGTGTACATCTTTTTCAACACCAATTCCATTCATATAACATTGCCCAACTTGAAACATTCCATCAGCATTTTTCATATCTGCAGATTTTTGATAATAAGTAAATGCTTTATATTCATCCTTTTGGACACCAATTTCATTCAGATAACAATCACCAAGATTATATGTTCCATCAGCGTTTCCCACTTTAGCAGATTTTTCATAATAAACGAAAGCTTTTTTGTCGTCTTTTTTAACTCCAATTTCATATTGATAACAATAGCCAAGACACAATGTCCCTATAACGTGACCCATTTCGGCTGATTTTTTATAACAATTAAATGCTTCATTGTTGTTCCTTTTTACTCCAATCCCATTTAAATAACAGCGTCCAAGATTATATGTTCCATCAACATAACCCATCCTAGATGATTCTTTATAACAAAGATATGCCTTATGTTCATCCTTTCTAAATTCATCTCCCTTCTCGTAACGAACGCCATCAGAGAATATTTCATTAGCACTTTTCTTGGGCGATTCACCAACTTGATATGCACCAATAAGCTTTCCCTTAACATTCCTACAATAAACAAAATGAATACGCAATTTTGGTTTATCAAAATTTTATACTTGAAATAGTGACAGTTTATTCACAAACCTAGCCAAAGTAAAAAATGATTCTTTGATGTCGATACTTTTTCCAAAAGTGGGTTTGGTATTTAGATTTACTTTCTCTGGCATTGTTTTTTGTTGCTATATGGTATATTATAATAAAAATTTAGATTTAGTCAGGTTTTATAAAAAATTTTTAATTTAAATGTAAACATATTTACCTTATATGTGTGCGAATATATTAACCTCTTTTTAATATCTCTAAGATTGAATGTAAAGTTAAAAATACGTGATTAATGACATACAGTAATTAATTTGTAATATAACTGGCAAACCTGGCCAATGAAAAGAATGCCTCTTCAACGTTTATGTTAGCCATGGCACTTGTTTCTAGAAACTTGATTTTAAATTTATCTGCAAGTGCCTGACCCTGTTCTTTAGTAATTACCTAAAGATAATATAATCAATCATAAGTCGAATTTTTTGAAATATCTCTTTAAATTAAAAAATCTTTACCCGTTTTTCAACTTTATCACAATTATTCCCAATAAGAATCTTATCGCCTTCTTCACTGGCATACTTGTCTATATTTGAAAACCAGGTTCTTATGTCTAATTAATTATAAAATTAATAATAATAATAATCATGAAATAATAATAATCTAAAATAATAATGAAACATGTATATATATAGTAAAAAATTTTTTAAAGTATAGCATTAAAAAAAAGGATACTGTTGAAAGACCTTTTGTTGGTAACATCATATACTAACAGAATACCCATTACACCACGATAATATTCTTTAAGATAGATTATTTATAAAAGTATGAAAACATTAGTACAAGAGAAACAATTATAAAGATCGCTTAGCAAAAATAATTAAATAAGCTAGATATTTACTTGTAGTTATAGTACGAAAACGTTCCTGGCCTGAGGTATCGAATATCTGAAGCCTGATTCTTTTCCCATCCAGTTTAATTATCCTACTTTTAATGTCGATTCCAACGGTATGGATAAAGGAGCTTGTAAAAGAGTCATCTGTGAAACGAAGCAATAAACTTGATTTGCCAACACCTATTAAAAATCAAAGTAAAGCATTTGATTACATGAGTTATGCAAAATAAACCATGAAGACTTGTGAGTAATGCTTTATGCGCTTTAGAGTTTTAATCTTACGGAATTCAATTTCCGATAGCGCTTACATTAAATGCCGTAAACAAATGAAAAACTATAAAGATGCTAACATGAATCTCCAATTAATAAAAGCTTAAAAAGATATTCATAGTAATAGTCATACGCCGCCGATTTTGACTGAGCCATCTATCTATTGCTATTCGTTCAAATTTAGTTACAAGCCCGAGTGATTCAAATGCAAAAAAATAATTCAAGCTGTGTAATATCATTGCGGCGTAATATAAATTTTGTGAAAGACTCGTGTTACAATATTGCCACCGAAATCTCAAATTTACGAGGTACAGTATTGTAAAAAATTTTTTGTACGAACAAAGACACATGCTTGAATTTAATTCGCCAGTCTAAATTGGTTATCTTCTGATTGGTTGTTACAGTACACTATTATCTGAATTTGATTACAGTTGTTTCATATTTACAAAGTGTCAATTTTCTTCTCTTTTTTTTTTATTATTATAGCTGTTTACATAAATTCTTGGACATCTGACAAAAAACTAGCCGAATAATTTTTCGGTCACTTCGGGTAAGTTGTTGATTTCAGCATAATAGAATTAATCAATTGATATATGTATACGTATAAGTAATTTAAGATCGAATGACTAATACGTATAAATATTTTAAGACATCTCTGATTGAAGAAAGCTTATCAGCTGAAATTTACTAAACATTCATGTGTTAGAAGACATTTTAGAGGTCATGTTTCTCAAACATATTCAAAGATATAGATACTGTATATTAAAAAACTTTTCAACATATTTTTGATAAAAATTAAAATATATTAATATTTTTATTAGTATTATAATATCTATCTGTGCATCATGTTAATTATAAATTTATATCTGGAGTCTTCTTTATATTTCTTGTTAATATTTATTAGTTGACAAGAACAGTCTTTTCTATAAAATTTCGTACAAACCAAATATGCCAAACTTGTTGGCAAATATTCAACAGAGGTTTACTAATGTTGAATGTGCCATTCTAACAAGTATTATATATACGTACCTACGTATATAACAAATATATACCGAAAACATTCGACTAATTTTTTTATCAAGCGTCCCATAATTTATGAAAACAGCTGTAAAACACGTAGCCATACGTAATTGTAAGGAAAATTACACGGAATGCATTTAAAATATTTAAAAATACGTTACTACACGTACAAGTACGGATTCCGCGCTTTTTTGCGTGCGTTATATGTGCTGTTCAGTGCACTGTCCTGTGTATTTATGTGCAATTTCGTGTGTGATTTCTTATAGGGTCAACATGTTATATTATGCAGAGCACAAAACCTACAGTATAGTAAAATGCCGGAGATTTCCGTCGACATAAGACAATTCATATGGACTGAAATCTTAAATTTTGTGATTAGTTAAATTGAATAATGAGATTAAATTGAATTTGAACAAATAATATACATGATATCGGGCGATTGCTAAGATTAAAAGTGATTATTTGCTAGTAATTTAAAATTGCTTATTAAATCGCTTTTATGAGTAGTGCTCCGAACAAATTAGCTAAAATAACCAAAAACAACTCAAACCGATCTGATTATAGTAAATTTATTATAGATCATGATTCATATATCACTTAATTAAATATAGTCACAACACTAACTGTAGATTTTCGCAAATATGTTTCCGCCTCGATTTTTCAACAAACGAAAAATTTCCGTTATTCATAATAATGACTTGCGATTATGGTTTTAAAGTTTTGATTAGGAAAAACACTTTCGGAAAAAATCACATTACATCAACCGGAAATTTTGTGCACTGATATTATTAAAGCTAAATGATGAAAAGATGACATCATCGATCTCAAAAAGGTTCACACTTCACATTTTTCGTAATTCGATGGATGGATAGATTAGTAGAGCAACCAAATTCAGCAGATCGACCAAAATTTAGGGACGGAATATGCCGGAGTTGATAAATTTCTCACAAAATCTCACAAAATTTTACTAATGAAATGGTAGCCCGAGTACTAAGTAAAGCTGTTCGGATGATAATTTTCAGCTTGTATTATTGCTTAGTGCCGGCCTAACTCCGGACCCATTCCGACCCTAAATTTGGTCGATCGGCTGAATTTTGGTTGCTCCACTAATCTATCCTAATTCGAGTGTTTCACTTAGATCCCTTCTAAAATATGAACAATCAAAAACGTTATAGCATACGAATTCAGAATTAAATTATCTTATTGTATAGATTATTGATCAACAAAAGTAAAATCGTAAAAGTATAATAAATTAAAAGCTTCCCAAAGAAGTCAATCAAGTCAGTCATGACATTTATAAAGAAAAAACATTATAAGTTAATGAAAGAAATGAATTTACAAACTAAGCAACTATAATAAAATTTTCGATTAAAAGGATAATTAAAACCTATCATTATTACCAAAGTATAATAAGAAAATGGATTTAGCAATTTCATATGGGCTGATCGGACTCATTTGGTGATGTTTGCGAATCACATGTGAAGATCTTCTGAATTTTGTACAACAAATACTGCCAATCATATTCGTTGTGACTAGTCAGTGTGATGTTTTCGAAAAACAAAATTTAAAGATCTTTCAAGAATATTCGTCTTTTCTAACCAATCAAGATAGTTGGAAGATGAGTTGAAGATGAGTTGGAGATGAGTTGGGGATGAGTTGAGGATAAGTTGGAGATGAGAAATAAGCTGGTGTTTGTTTAAATTGAGATTAAGTAGAGGTTCAACCAACATAGTATATTATTGTTATTTTATTTTATTTTTTTTTTTAAAATTTTGTTTTTTTTTAATAAAAAAAAACTTTCCTGTTTACCTTGAATTTTTAGTGAAATAAATAAAATGCCACCTAGTCCTAAAAACTTACTAACACAAGGTTCTCCACTTCATATTTCCCAAGTTTGCACTTTAATTCGTCAACCTTTTCAAGAAATTAAGCAACAAAAGAATGGTTTACAAACCAATACTTTGGAGATTGTTGACAATTATCCGAACATTCTTGTAACTAGACTTGAAGGAAATAAAACAAAAAAAAAAAACCTTTATAAAATCTTTCGGCTTGGATATTATCTTTCAAATATTAAACAAACTCAAAGAAGCTGTTATCTAATTCCTAACGGTTATTCAGTTGGTGTTAATATTCGTGGTGTAGAAATTGTTGCTGAAACTCGGTATGATTCTGGTGGTGAAATAATCTACACAATAACATGGGATAGTCAAGATGAAAAAAAGAATTCAGTATCAAGTAATAAATCCACAAGTAATGTTGCAACTTTATTCTTTCAGGCTGGTATTAAATTAGCTTAAAAATTGATTTAATATGTAATATACTGTATATACTTATTAATATTTATAATAAACCAGAAATTATATAACAATAATAAATCCACATTTTCTGGTATTATTCTTTTTGGGTTTGATCTTGAATGTTTAAAAGAAAGGCGAATTCATAATAATCAGAATCAAGATCAAATTAAAAGAAAATCTTCATTTCATTTACTTAAATTGGAATCACAGAAAAACAAACGGCTTAAAGCCTTGGCTTGCAATCTTCGTGGTGAAATTGAATCTACAATTCAATTACATAATTTTTATAATACTGAATTAAAATCTATAAAATTAAATGTAAATGGATTACATGTTAATTTTCAAAATTTAAATTCTAAGAAATCTGAATCTTATCAACTTTTAGATTCGATTGTCTGTGCATACGATAAGCTTTTAATTTCCCGTGATGGGTATCGTCGGCTTGCAACTATTATACCTGAAATGGAACGTGCATATAAAGTTGAAGAGCGTCGTCAAGAAATAACAAAAATTATGAACGATATAATCCCAGTTCATACTGTTCAAATAGATTCTGTAACACCAAATGGTGTTTATCGATCACTTAAAAACATTTTACTTGTTTTAATTCCCGAATTAGCATATAGTATTTCACCAATATTGCATCTAGGAGATGTTATTCACGTCAAATTAAGTGGGGATGGGCGACAGGTTGGTAAATATCATAATCATGTAATGTTTACTTCTTGCATATTAAATAAACATGATGCAGTTTTAAGTCCGTCAAATCAACATTGCATTTTTCTTTATACTGGTACGAAACAATATGAATTACTTAATCAAGCTTTTAATTTTTTAATTGATGAATTATTAACTTTAAATACAGAAGGAATCATTGATTCAACCAATAATCATTGGAAAATTGAATTTTGGTTCGGTTCTGATTGGAAATTTATGTCCTTAATTCTTGGTACTAAAGGACCAACAGCAAATTATTTTTGCTTATATTGTAATTGTAAAAATACAGATCGTTGGAATATGGATTTAGACTATGAAAATTTATGTAATACTTTAGGACAAAAAAATCTAAATCCCTTACCATTTTTAGAAAAACAGCATTGTATACCAGATGAATTATATATAATGCTTCGAATTACCGATATTTTATTTGAATGTTTTTTTTTAGAATTGTCTATTGAACCTACATTCAATAAACGATTAAAAAAAAAAAATAATAAAATAATAATTCGTGAACAAATAGAATTAACTATTCATTCTATTAGTATTACAATTTTTAAATTTAAAGAACCTGAAACACCAAAAGGAAAATAGCATTGGACATCATTAATGGGACCGGACAAATTAGTAATTTTAGAAAAATTTCCGATCAGTTTATTTATTCCAGGTCAACGAGGTAAAGATATACAAGAACTTTGGCATGATTTTTATTATTTATACAAAACAATGCATAGAGTTGATTTAACAGATGATGATATTGCCAATTTTGAATATATGGCACGACAATGGGTTAAAAATTTTTGTCGACCAACAATTAAAACCCCTGATGGAAAAATT